TCTCACATTCGAATTTACCCATCCAACTTACAGAGGCATGTGGCATCCACCAGTTAGCATGGAAGCTGACTGCCCCGACAGGTTTTCCTTAGAATTCACCGGAGTCCACCGAATGAGCTTCTAAGACAAGGTTGATTGTTCAAATTGTTTGGCAGACTTGAAGTTCTAAGGAAAACCTGTCGGGGCAGTCAGCTTCCATGCTAACTGGTGGATGCCACATGCCTCTGTAAGTTGGATGGGTAAATTCGAATGTGAGAAGACCAGTGCTATCGGTGCGGTCTCGTAGCTCAGCTGGTACAGCATGCGCTTACAAAGCGTAAGCGGCGTCCGTGCGTGGGTCCGAATCCCGCAGAGGCTACTGAACTTTCCACAATCGACGTACAAACTTTAACTCTGCCAAACAACAATTTGAACAATCAACGATTTGAACAAATAATGATACAACAGTGCATGAGGCGGTTGTTGTCACATGCGAAAGACTGTTCCGCTAGTTGGAAGACCCATTACAAATCATATCCTATCTGCAACTATCGGTCCAGAGTGGAGGATATTGCGCACCTGGTGAACTTAGACAGGGTGAATGGCTTTCAATTTTTTGTTGAGATTCAGGCGACCCCAGAGCCTTATGTGATTTTTCAGTCCAAGCCCCAGGGCGTAGGCTACCGGATGACTCATCTATTTGCTGTTCATCACACAGTGATGCATACTAAAAAGGATGTTCCTTCATCTCTATATTACATATGATTATACTTCTTTTGTATGCAGAATTATGCTTGTTGCATCGACGTGCATGAGGTAGAATCCGGGAAGGTAGCGCCCCTGGAAATTGTTGCAATATGCTTTCCTTCGAGGAAACCGGAGGTGTCATTCGGGATACAGTTGCACATAGGGCGGAAATGACTGTTGGTTGGTTCCCCCTTTTAGCAAGCCATTTGTGTGGTAATGTCTAACGTAGCTGATTTTGTTCCGCGGTACTTGCGGCGTGTATATATTTCACGGTCTCTCTGACTACTTTCTCATTGGATGCTTAATGCACTTGTGTGCTGTGTGAGAACTTTTTTATATTACTCGCCTGCGCTTACGCATACGCGTGTGCGCACATAGACCGTCCTCCGATTGGCTCTTCACCATTGACCTCGGATTCGACTCGGTTTTCGATCACCATCCACCGAATCAATACTGTTTATTTCATCACGAGTGCGTGTATTTGCCACGATTAGAGTTCCTCAGATTGTTCATTTTTGCGCATTGCTTTGTGACGTCTCGTGTTGCATTATCTCACTCACTGAAACTGCCGCCTTGGTGTTAGCAATGCGTAAACAAAGCGTTTGTTCTGCTCATCCGCCCAGGGGTATGACCGTGACTAGTGGTTGTGTAACGTTGAAGAAAGATGCACAAAATCTGGTTGGAATCAGTATTGGTGGTGGTGCCCCATACTGTCCATGTCTCTATGTGGTGCAAATCTTCGATGGAACTCCAGCCTCCGAGGATGGTACACTCCAAGCTGGTGATGAGATTACCGGGGTCAACGGGATTCCAGTCAAGGGCAAATCGAAAGTGGAAGCGGCTCGGTTAATTCAAAGTTTCAAGGTAAACTGTTTTTGAGAGAGAGAGAGTGAGAACCGAAAGATTGCCAGTTATTCCTATTTTGCGGGTTTCGGGAATGATTTTACCTGATTGGTTTATTGGTTTGCGTATGACATCGATATGATGTACACAACCTTCTTCCGTATACCGCCATGGTTTGCCAATCATGGACCTTTTTCTGTATATAAAGAATATTGTTCGGTGATTTATTTAGCACGTAGTCTGAAATCAGACATGTGTGAAAATTATAACTAATGCATACTATCCTACTCACCATGCCTGATTAGAATATCAAGATACTGTAATTTACCTGCGTTCTTTTTCTATTGCTTGGAGCAACCATGCTTCACAATAATGAAAGATAGTTGTCAACTTCTACAGTTTAAATGATTCACGTGCCGCCGTGTGTCACTGACCACTTTCCACGAATACATACACACATATAAGTGTGCCGAATAATATTATATGCGAGCTACACTGCCGAACACTGTGCGAGTTTGATCTTTAGACTTTTTAGATATGACCGTGCAATCTATCATTTTCCTTTCGTGGCCGTTGTTACCTACATCACAACAACACATCTATCTGAGTGAGGCATTCTGTTGTTCCTTACTCTCTCCCCCCCTTCGGGTGGGGCTGGTCGGGCTATTTCCCAGTTCCCCTCACATCCTAGGAGGTAATCAAAAGAGTCTCTTGATTGTGATGATAATCCCAGCTGGCTATTTAATATGGAACGCAATCAACTCTCTCTTTGTGGACTGTTTTGAATTTACAGGCACCGTGTCCCACACCGACGAATGGTGTTTCTTTTATTCTGTGCCCGTTTTAAGAAACTCTTCAATCCAACAGCCTGGCTGTTCGCGAACATATTTGATTTCCTCTGCTGACTATTTAAAGTGGCAATGATAGGTTCATATTTTTTCAGAAAATCGGATTGGCTATCTTACTGCTTAGGATGTAGAATCAAACTGTTCGTTTTTTCTCTGCTCTCGTCATCACGAGTACCTCATAGACTCCAAAATTATCACACTTTTAAACTCCCTAGTAGGAATAACAGTTTGATTATAGCTGGTTTCAATTTATAATGCAAATCTGTAATTTTCATCGGAGTTAGTCAAAGGCGCGGATATTGGCTTTGGCCTTTTAGAATCGGACTGTTTCGGTTTCAGGGATACCGACAAATCACTATATATAAACTGGCCTGGATTCAGGCTGTGCCAGACAAAGAATAATGTTTATTTTGGGTGAAAAAGTGTAGCTGTAGAAAAACGTATGGAAATGTTAGTGATTGGTTTGTAGTATGTTTTCTTTTCTGACGAGCCCTTTTTTCTAATTTTATAGGTAATAACTCGTGCCGTATGGGGAAACCTCGATGGTCAAACTACCCAGGGGATGTGGTAACTCTTTAATAGAGGACATCAAAACAATTTCATCTCCCGCTACACGGTGGTAGTTGTTGACAATATATCTTACCTTAGCAATGACATCATCCATCTCGGAAGTGAAGTGGTGAGATAAGACATCATTAGCGTACGCTGCTGGAAACAGCGGACGGTGGCAAAAGTCTCCCATATGCCCTCACACTTCTCGAAATGTGTCAGTACAACGCCTTCAAGCTAGAGATGTATTCCTCTGGTAGTCTATTTCTGGGGAAAATGTTTTGCACACTTGGTCGATGAGATATAAAACTGCTTTGATACCATCAAACAACGAGAAACTCGGTCTGTGATAGTTGTAGCGGTATTTAAGCAACTGATGAAGCGTTGAGATTTGATCGAGGAACCATGATCGTAGTCGAATTTAACTTGCTACTCGAGTACCAGTTTGTTCCATTTCTCTGAAAATCTGTGACGGTTGATGGATACTGGAATGTTTTACCGTGAATAGAATTAGACTACTTTATGTATGATTGCCACAGATTGTGCGTGATCTCTTTTA